TCTTTTAAAAAAAAATTGATCAAACTTCTTGGAGGACTACTCGACATAACTACACACATAAACCTCAAATCGTGTGCATATCATCCAGATTCCGATTGCTGCACCTTCTTTCATGGGAATTTGAGCGACCCGAAGTCCTCTGAAGATTCACTGATATACTTGTATGTCATTTGAAACAAGTTGAAGTCGGCTGATCTATACGAAACTATCCTCACACCGGTCATTTGTCATAAACATGTACGTTGCCACGATGGCGTGACGCTGTATTTCTCTATGATGTTTCCATCGATCGCCCCAAAGAAGTCGAGAAATGGACATTTTTGGATATATCAGCAGATTTCCGCGCATTCTAAGTAAAAACAACAACAATAAAAAAGAACTTTTGAACGCTCGTAAACACTGAGAATCTAAGAGCAGAAATCGCAACTTGTCAGCGGCAGTACTACATGTAAAACACAGTCGTCACAATAGCAATTTGAACTACTCGCGCGAAAATCACCACAAAGTGGAGATTTTGAACTACTCAGTATCCCTGCAGTACAGAAAACGAAACAGGGATTTCATCACAATCAATTTCCAAAATTTAGCTTTTTTCAGGGAGTCTTTCACATGCTCGAACGTTGTATTGGCTTTGAGCCTTGAGATTTATTTCCCTTGACAATAAAACGCTATAGAAAGTGCTTACAAAATTACAAAGCAACTATTTTTGATGCCGCTTTGACCGAAAAATACAGATTTGAAATAATTAATGCTGTCACTGATGAACCAAAGGGCCCAATCTTCTCAGCTATTAGCTTGATGGTCTCCACAGACTAACGTTATTAGACCGAACGATCTCCTTTTTCTTCCTGGTGAGCCGGCCACCTCAGGGGAAAATTAAAGAGACCTTTGACTTCCTCTCGTGTAAATCACTGGGAGATTGCGTTATATTTATCTTTCTTTAAGCTTGTAAAAGATATCCGGGAGAAAAGTATGGAAAATAATTGTGATGAAATCGCTGTTCTTTTTCCTGAAAGACATGAAGCAATCCAGATTACATATTAAACATGTGGAGTTTTGTTCATGTGACAAGTTACGATTTGCGTGTGGATAATAAGTTGTTTGAAATGTGGATTTATTAAATTATGATTTAATTAAATCTTTTATTTCGAG